TTCTCCCTCTACCACCCTCTTCTACTCTGTATCACCTCATATCACCTCTATCATCTCTTCTACTTCTTTCACCCCTTATTCTTCACCCTCTCTACTATCATCACTGCCTCTACTGCTCTGCGGCTCTTCTACCACTTTCATTCTCTTCTCAGACCACTCTCTACCTCTCTCTTATCATCTCTTTCACTTCTTTCACCTTCTACCTTCTCTATCACCATCATCATGTCTATCATCTCATAGCTCTCTCTATCACTTTCACTCTCTATCTCTACTCTCTTATCATTTCTTTCACCTTTACTCTCTCTATTATCATCATCATCTCTATCACTCTGTAATTTCTCTCTATTATTATCATCATCTCTATCATCTCATAATTCTCTTTATCACTTTCATTCTCTATCTCTATTCACTGTTATCATTCTTTTCATCTCTTTCACTCTCTATTCTCTCTACTATTATCATTATCTCTACTTCTTCTACTACTCTCTTTCACTCTGTATTATCTCTATCATTATTATCAGATTAATCAGAGCTGTACAAACTGCAGAGTCAGCTATTTAATCTTATTTATAAATTTAAAGAGATGTATATAACATTATATAAGATTTTATTATAGAGTATTTAGCAGTATATACTATAAATATAGAGATTAAAATGTGATAGAGATAGTAAGAGAGAAGTAGAGATAGTAAAAGTAATAGAAGAGACTGTAGAGTAATAGAGATAATAATAATGATAAAGAGACTAGAGAGTGAAAAAGATAATAGAGAGAAGTAATAGAGATAATAGAAATAAGAGAGATAATAGAGATGATAAGAGAGAAGTAGAATGATAAGATGAGAGTAGAAATAGAGAGTGAAAGTGATAGAGAGTGCTGTGAGATGATAGAGACAGTGATAATGATAGAGATGATAGAGATGATAGAGGTAATAAGAGATAATAAGAGATAATAAGAAGAAATCAGAGTGAAAGAAGTGTAGAGATGATAGAGATAATAGAGATGATAAGAGAGTAAGTAATAAGATAAGAGTAGAGTAGAAATATGAAGTGAAAGTGATAGAGAGAGCTGTGAGATAATAGAGACAGTGATAATAAAGATAATAGAGATGATAGAGATGATAGAAGTGATAGAGATGATAGAAGTGATAGAGATAATAGAAGTGATAAAAGTAATAGAAGTGATAAGAGTAAGTGATAAGATAAAGAGAGAGATATGAAGTGAAAGTAATAGAGAGTACTACAGAGTGTTAGAGATGATAGTGATGATAGAGAGTAAATAGAGTGATGCAATTGACAGATGTTACTATATATTCATGAATTTTTAATAAGATGCATGTGATGTCATATGAGATTATATTACAGCATTTTTTACACAGAAAAGTTGATTTTTCTTTATTATTATTATAAGTATTAAATGCTCATTTACACTTACTTTTCTGCTTGTACAGTCTTCTCTATCACTTTCATTCTTCTTCTCAATCACTTTCTACTCTCTCTTTATTACTTCTTTCATCTCTTACTCTCTACTCTCTCTATCACTATTATCATCTCTATCACTTCTATCACTCTCTTTCTCTACCACTCTTTCTACCTCTTTCACCTCTTACTCTTCACTCTCTCTATTATTATTATCATCTCTACCACTCTGCAGCCTCTCTACTCTATCACTTTCACTCTCTTTCAGAATCACTCTCTATCTCTCTCTTATTATCTCTTATCACCTCTTTCACTTCTTTTATCTCTTTCACTCTCTACTCTCTCTACTATTACTATTACATCTACTGTCTCTACTCTCTCTCTCTATCACTCTCTTCTACTCTGTATTACTCTGTATTATCTCTATCACTTCTTCTATCTCTTTCATCTCTTACTCTTCACTCTCTCTATTATTATCACTGTCTCTATCACTCTGCAGCTTCTCTATTACTTTCACTCTCTCTTCAGATCACTCTCTATCTCTCTCTTATTATCTCTTTCATCTCTTTTATTCTCTACTCTCTCTACTATTATTATCACATCTACTGTCTTATAGCTCTCTCTATCACTTTCACTCTCTATCTCTACTCTTTTATTATCTCTTTCATCTCTACTCTCTCTATCACTATCACTGTCTCTATCACTCTGTAATTTCTCTCTATTATTATTATTATCTCTATCATCTTATAACTCTCTTTATTACTTTCATTTTCTATCTCTATTCACTGTTATCATTCTTTTCATCTCTTTCACTCTCTATTCTCTCTACTATTATCATCATCTCTACTTCTTCTACTACTCTCTTTCACTCTGTATCATCTCTATTATTATTATCAGATTAATCAGAGCTGTACAGACTGCAGAGTCAGCTATTTAATCTTATTCATGAATTCAAAGAGATGTATATAACATTACATGAGATTTTATTACAGAGTATTTAGCAGTATATACTATAAACACAGAGATCAAAATGTGATAGAGATAGTAAGAGAGAAGTAGAGATAGTAAAAGTGATAGAAGAGACTGTAGAGTAGTAGAGATAATAATGATAATAGAGAGACTAGAGAGTGGAAAAGATGATAGAGAGAGGTGATAGAGGTGATAGAAATGAAAGAGATGATAGAGATGATAAGAGAGAAGTAGAATGATAAGATGAGAGTAGAGATAGAGAGTAAAAGTGATAGAGAGTGCTGCGAGGCGGTAGAGGCAGTGGTGGTGGTAGAGGTGGTAGGGGTGGCAGGGGTGGTAGAGGTGGTAGGGATGATAGGGGGTGGTAAGAGTGAGTGGTAAGATAGAGGTAGAGGTATGAAGTGGAAGTAATAGAGGGTGCTACGGGGCGTTAGAGGCGGTGGTGATGATAGAGAGTAGATAGAGTGGTGCAATTGTGGATTTTTGATGAGGTGCATGTGATGTCATGTGAGGTCATGTTACAGCGTTTTTTACACGGAAAAGTTGGTTTTTCTTTAATATATAGAGAGATTATTATTATTCTTCCATTATACTCATATGCAAGCGGAGCTTATGATGAGTCCTTGCGTGATGTTAAATACAGGTCAAGTGTTGGTTATACAGGAGGAAATACAGGTGTTGAGACCACGCCAAGATAACAAGAACATAGGAAATACAAAGGAGTGACAATTAGATACATGCGATAATAACTTCCCAGCCCAGGAACATAGAGCGATTTATTGGAGCGATTTGTATATATAGAGAGAATATAGAGAGATATATATATATATTTTTCATTCCACTCTTTTCATACATTCTCTACAGTATTTACATTTCTTATACTCTTCTCTCTGTATTCATGGCATGTGCTGCTAAATGCCCTGTAAGATGACCTGTCGGATTGAGTGTTATGAATGAATATGTTGAAGACATATGAATCTTATGTGTATCAAGATCTGCTTGTTATATTATCTGTACACTATCTAATATATCTATTTCATACAAAAGATAGAGCTATTTATAGTAAAATATATGTGCGAGCCAAGAGAGCTAGCATAAGCGAGTATTAGATGAGTGTTGTAGTAAGCTGATGATGATGAGAAATATTGTAGTAATATGATGTTGGTGGCGTTCAGTAGTGTATAACCTCTTTTTCCTGACATGACCTCACATGATGTCATGTGCACCCCTTTGAATTCATGAATGGGATTGAACAGCTGGCTCTGCAGCCTGTACAGCTCTGATTAATCTGATAATGGTGATAGGGGTGATACGGGGTGGAGTAGGGGGGGGGGGTAGAGGTAGAGCGTGGAAGTGGTAGGGTAGGGGGCTGCGCAAGCAGCAAAGCGAGCGTAAGCGAGCGTTTGATGTTTGTGTATTATTAAAAATATTTTATTTTATTATCTCAATTACCCACTCTCTATTTCACTCCACTTCTCAGCCATTCCTTCCTTCTTCCGCTCACAACTTAGGGCTCATCGTTCTCAACAGTAGGAAATCGATGGAACCTCGAGCAACGACTGAGTCTTCCGCCCTACCGAACCAGTGATTGGTCTGAGCAGTAGACGCCTCATTCTCCATCTCTTTCGCTCGTAGTTCCGGCGATGGGCGCTGAGGGGCCTACCTCATCTAATTAGTCCTGGTCTTAGACATCATCACACGGCCTGTCTACTTGTACGCGAGGGTCTGACCAGAGGTTGCAGGCGAGCGGTAACTTACCTTACTAGGGCCCGGTTTAGTGATGTGGCGCGGAAGCACAACTACATCGCAATGCATGTTAACCCTAGTTACATACATAAACATCCTGGTTACATAACCAAGGTACCGTTCCAACCGTATATACAAAATATGCACATATTTATTACGTGTGTATATAAACACTACCCCCTGCCTGAATATATTCATCCCTCCATCCCAAAAATCCTATCCAACATCTCCTCCCCAAACCTCGCAGCACCAGGCGACATCACCATCCTCACCACCCGATTCCCGGAAACATTACTCAACCAATGCCCATTATCACTAAAACTCACAAGGTCATCGTCCCGCCTCTTCCGACTCCGCCGATCAACCACACACATCCCCCGCGTCCACTGGCCCGTCGTCTCCACGCGGATATCCTCCGGCGACCCGGCTGATGGCTGCCAGCCACCTTGCTGCTGTTTCTGCTGCTGTCCGCTCGTCGTGAGCACATACCAAACGCACAGCGGGTCGTGTAGGCTCAGCGAAGCTTTATCGCCATCGTGGCCTGGATGCAGCGCATCCAGGGTCGCGAAGCTGTGCTCGAGGATGATGGAGAGCCATTCTGCCAGCGGTGAGTTGGCGGATGCCATGGGCCCTACTTTGCTATGGAAGTGACCGCGGGTGAGGTTGTGCTGGTGCGTGATGTCGAGCGGGAAGAGCTTGAGGGTTAGTTGTTTGCTGAGCGTTGCCGGGTAGGCGGGGAGCTGGTGGGTAGTTAGTGAGGGGTTTATGGGCGGCATGGTTGATGTGGGCCGTAGGGAGGTGAGGGCGAAGACGCGGGCGGCAGCGGCGGCGTCGGCATATGTGTTGAATTCGGCGGTTGGGGTTACCTGGTGTATTTTATGCTCGTTAGTGCGAGTGGTACGGGGTGTCTGGATTATGGACGATTGTGTGTGTATACTTACGTTTCCAGGAATATCGATTGCTCCTCCCATAACCACTACCTCCTTTGCACGGAGGAATGTCTCTGGGTCTTCTGCGGCGGCCGTGGCCAGATTTGTAAGCGGGCCAATGGCCACGATCGTGATGGTCTCCGGATCGTTCTCCTTAAGGATCCGTAGCATTTCCTTGTGGGCAGGCTCTCTCGAGGCGATAAATAAAGAGTCGTGAGAATGATCCAATGCAGCCTTTGCTGTAGCTGCAGTCGTCCCGTTTTGAGTGAGGGGAAAGAATAGGGATTCCCATGTTTGCTCGGGAGTCAAATGAGGGTGCTGTTGTATTTTTGTTGATGTGTTATCCCTTAGATATCACATTCTCATTTTTGCATCCTTGTCAAAAAAAGTTGAGTGAACGGGGCGGATTCCGTACACTGAAATGAATATCTCCTAGCCCATCACGTCCATCTAAGACCCAACCAACGCAAGATAGCGGTCAGTCAAAAGGGTCGCAGCACCATTAAAAGTCGATAATGTTACCAGACGATAGAAAGCCTCACGAAAATAATCAGCCATCATCATCTCATCCTCAAGGGGACGATTAGCCCCGACAGCAATCGTTGGCTTGCATTTCTTCAGGGAATCGAAACCTTCCGGTTTTCCATGTTCACGGCGCCACTTGAGCTCCCGCTCGATGGTATGGAACAGAGACACGAGATTCCGGAGGCAGCTGTGGGTTCATATAAAAACCACATTGCAGAAAAAAGATATCAGCATTCGATCTGACATATACATGTATCCCAAGATATGCAATTTTCTCCTGGGATAATGAAGAATGATACATCGCAAAAAGAGGGGTAAAAGAGCACGCAAAAAGAGGGGTAAGAGAGCATTTATATACTCTCGCCTTGATCATTTATCAGTAGGAGGCAGTAGACACGCACCTACGGACATCGATGTTGCCAAAGGTCAGAGATATCAGCTTGACCTCGATCTCTTCGGAACGAGACGACAGAGCCAGGAGCAGGGCAAGGATGTCATCAACTCCCTGTTCCGCATGGTTAGGACATGGTTTCTTCTTCTTGATCTTTTGGTGCTTGTTGCAACGCAGGGCGCCAGAAACGACAAAAACAAGAAGAAAAAATAAAGGCGGTGGCTGTTAGGCTAGAGAGATAATCGAATATTCGTCCGGCTAAGTCGGGCGCGGTCTACTTGGAACGTCACGGACAGGCAGGACGCATTTTCCGAAAGGCATAGGCCAAGACTGAATATACCTGCGGAAACGGACGGACAAAAGAAAAAGTACGCATGTAGAATAATTTCAACTAATTTCAAACAAACGCAGCGGAGGGTTCCGGCCTCACAGGATCTGTATCAATTACGACTTTGCTCGGTGGCATGGTAGGAGTCGTATAGGGCAGCAAAGTGATAGTTAGGTTATCTTTATCGGTTTAATCGAAACTCAGCCCAACGGGGGTATGTGTCTTTGCGAGGCTTGATGATAGTACTAATAGCATAGAATAGGGCTGAAGTATTTGTTCTTGAAGGCGGGAACTTCTTCACGTTGAAAGCGGCGTTGCAGGAAGTTTAACGCTAGACTGGACTGTGCATGTATTATTAGAGTTTATACCTAATCATAGCTCAGACAAAAACAAACTTTAAATTAAAATTCGTTATCAGTAAAGAATGTACTCTAAAAATAAAATAGTTAACAGAGCAAACTTAAAAGAAAAGCAAAGCTCAAAGAATTGATAGCTAACACAGTCCTAAAAGAGTCATTAGTGTTATAACCATGCATGCCACCATAGCAATCCTAATCTAACATGCAAAATAAAAGATATACATATACATGGCCGCAGTCCAGTGTTGTTTTCAGTAATACCGCATATTACACGATTTGGTATTTGATAATGTCACGTGGTATAAAATTACCCCCCTTAAATGACAGCTCGCGCCAACTTCAATTTGATTAATGAACCGGGGTCGATAGAGAGTTTGGCTAGGATTAATGAACGGAGTAATTACGGATTAGTTACCTACTCAGAATTGATGAAGAAGAGGTTGAAAGAATGGCGAATCGGAACAATGTCAGCTACATTCGGTGCAATGCCCGGGAGACTTCTCGATGGAGAGATATTTCAAGCGAACTCTGGCGGATCAAGTGTTTTCAATCAAGATTCAAGGCCACCACCATATGCAGTCTTTTCTCCCCTTGAATAAAGTGTCGGCTCACATTCTTAACCGCGGATTGCCTTCATATTCGGCGTCGGATACGAGCTCCATCATAGTAATAATAAAAATGATGTGGGGGAATTCGAAGGACCCCGGAATTTGAGACATTGGTAGTACATGTGCATACATACATACGCTAATAATAAGATAACTAGTTACTCCTGGAAAGTGTTTTTCCTATGTTGTTCGTACCTATCATGAATTGAGCAACAACACCGGAAACTAAGTAAATAGATAAGATAACTACATTATTGCAGTTCACATCACAACAACAGAGAGAGGTGGAGCTTCCTTCTGGCCTATTCGAAAAAAGGGGAGGGGACAAGGCCGAGACTGTGCAAGCGGGACAGACCTATATAGTAATAATCATAACAATAAGAGGGAGTTAAGGTTACAATACGCCTGTAACTAACGACAATACCGCCGGCGGTGGAGTGGAAAGCTGGCCTCAAGGAAAAACGGCGCCTTACTAATCAAGCGGCCCTCGCCCTCGCCGCCGCCAGGAGAAGGTTGGAACCAAGGGAATTCGCAGCAAGGGGGGCAGCAGCGGACAACAGGCGAACTCACAACGCTCACCATCCTCCCGATCTGTTCTCTCCTCCTCCAGCTGTCACTCCTTTACACTTCCATTGCCTGTTTCCCAAACCATGCTGGTGCCTCAGCCTGGCATCTCGCTCTTTTGATTCCATGGTCTCTATTCGCTTTGACTTCCTCTCCCTGAACTATATATCCCAACCAATGATGACGCCAATTTGATAACCTTCATAACCTGCTACGCGCTGTGGAAGCTTGGTCGACCTTGCGCTTTTTTAACATATCCCCCCCATATCCTGCTCTCATCAAATTTCGAGATATCACCGCTTTAAACACTTCCTCCAGACTCGATTCTAAAGAAAAATCACCGTCTTACCTGCTTGAACCCCCTACTTCGTCGATCAACTTTCAAACATCCACACGCCCCGGCTTGCCGGCCCTATCGCAACACAGCCACGTCCGGAAAGCAAAACACCCAGATCCGTTTAAACACTACAGGAATCCTTTCCGTCAATCAAACCCAGTCTCTCATCTGCTCACGCGCTAACAGACCTGCTTCTGTCAACGCCTCAGAAGCCGTTTTGAGGAACCAGCTTATAGTTCCTTTTCTTGTCTAAATCTGGGGTTTTGACCCCGCTTGTCCCGTCTAAAGTTTCAATCTTCTTGTTCTATTTATAAAAGAGCTCACTCAAACAAGTATGTGTCCTCTTCCCTTATCTTTCATTTTGTGCTAGTCCATCCTTAAGTACATGAGTTAACGTCCCCTTATCGTCATGATAGAACCGAAAATGAATCCCTTCTTAAACTGGGCCATTGTGCTCGTCATCAGTGGCGGCCTCTTTTGGTATTATAAACTCAGATCCTGCCCCAGAGTCAGAGCTACACCACTGAAAGCTCTCGTGGAGAAACACGAAAATGGATATCTCTCCAAAAAGGCAAAGCGGAAAGCAAAACGATCCCCAGACAACGCCAGCAGCAGCGGCTCTCGTACTCCGCCTCCCAAACCCATCGTTCATTCTCCTGCAAAACAGGAGGTGGTTTCCTCCGGAGTACATAAGGCCGAGGCTGGTGATGAGGGGATGAACATCCAGGAGTTTGCCAAACGGCTTTCCAAGGCGAAAGAGGGCACCAAGCTCTCATCTGCGGATAGCAAACCTAATAAGCATCAAGTCCGCACTAAGAAAATTGTTAGCAGTGCCGTTGAGCCTGCCAAGAAGGATATAGCAGCCAGTAAAGATACTTCAGCCGAGAAGGATGTCACAGTTGAGAAGGACGTCACTATTGAGAAGGATACCACAGTTGACAAGGATGCCACAGCTGAGAAGGGTACCACCTCTAACGGAGATACCACAGCCGAGAAGGATGCCACGGAGTCGTCTACTTGCACTTCATCGACCACTGGGGGGGATGCGGACGATGACATGTCCTCCGTAAACTCACCTGTTGTCAATCCAACTGTACCCACGGTAGGTAGCGTCTCCGATATGCTGCCGCCTCCCCCAGCAACTATACCCGTCCTTCGCCTGGTTGACGTGTCTCAGGAGGCTGAACAGTCAGCGAAGAAAAATCAAAAGTCGGAAAAGGTCACAGAGACAAAGAAACAGCGCCAACGAAGGATTAAGAATGAAAATAGAAAGAAGATGGTAGAAGATGCGGAGAGGGAGCGCCGTATTCAACTTGAGAAACAACTCCACACTGCCCGTGAACATGAACGTCGCGAGGCTGCCAAATCTAAACCCCCTCCAGCTGCCAATGCCTGGAAAACAGAAACCAGCAGCAACAAACCAAATGGTCTGCCGCAATCTACAAATGAACCACCACCCACATCTTTTCTAGACACGTTTGAGCCAGCCGCTGAGCCAGCAGCCAACCCTCTCCCAACATCCGAAACCACAAAACCGTCCTCTTATTTAGAGAGTTGGGCCAACAACTTGCCGTCCGAGGAAGAGCAGATGCGCATCATAATGAGTGAAAGCGAGTGGACGACAGTCTGTAACCGCAAAAAGGAGCGAAGAAACGGCTCCAAGCACACCGGAAGCGTTAGTGCCAGTGAAACAAGCAGCTCTGACTTTCAAGCCGTAAAGGCGCCGAGACCGTCGATAAACCAACCTCCACCTCCACCAAAAACAAAAACACCAACAAGTGAAGCAGCAAAAGCTACACCCACTGTTCCGTTCCCTCCAAAACAAGAGACTTCTAACAGCAAAGGTCATCCCTTGGACTCTGACTGGGAGCCTTGATAAAAACTCCGCCACCAAACTCATAAACCAAAACGAAACAGGTAACCTACAATCCAAATGACAACGAAGTCAATACATACATCGATACACATAAATATCCATTTTTCTCAATCTATATTATATGAGCGCTTGAGTCATCACCACTTCTCATTTCCGTTTTCAGTTTCCATCTTCTTTCTGTACTTTCAGGTGTTTTGATACTGATTCCCCTATTTTTCCAGTAGTTACATGGCGTTTGGGTCAGAGTGTTTTATTGTAAACAATTATTATATTCATTCTTGTCTTCTTTTGTTCTATTGTTCTTCTACTACTTCTGCTGCTGAGTCAGATTTGTGATCATTTCTTTTTGTACTGTATAATTTTTTGCATCATTTGACTTGCTTAACTCTTAACAATGTTTTTTTTCTCTTGTTACATTTATGTCATATTATCATGCAATGTTTTATCAGAATTGTATATTTTATATTTTTTTTCTTCTTTTATTATCTTTTCTTCTGTTAAATAAATGTATTGAGCAGTACTGAGTCAGAATAAACTCAGTCACTGTAGAAAATATAGTATAAAAATTGAAATTTTAAGTTAGATATAATAGAGAAGTTCTTAAAGTAGTTAATTATATTATAAGAAGCTAGCTATCAATCTATGTAATCTTTTATAGAAGCTTGTAATCACTGATTATATAAATTAATAACTGTTATTATTTATTATTATTATTCTTCAATTATAAATGTATATAGTTATAGATGTAATGTGGCAGAACTGAAGCAGTGACTAGTTGACAGTGACATGTAGAGATAGTTGTTTAAGAAGCTGTATAAGTGAGCTTAACTATCTTGCTTAAATAGCAAGCTTGTAGACTACAGAGTTATTGTGAGAATATCACAGATATAATACTTAGTATACTAAGAAGTAGACTGGCCGCTGAGATCATGAATTTCATGTTTGATCTCATTTGATCTGATTCCATACATTTCTTAGTGTGAATCCCGCTGGGACTAATCATTAAATAAACATGTAAAGTGACTATATATCAGATCTCAAAATGAAACCATGACTTGAAAAAAATAAGAAAGTGATTTCATTTGATCTCATTTAGTCTCATTCTTAGTATAAAGTTACTATTTTTAGACATTTTAAGGTTTTTTTTAGACTATTTTTAATTTTTTAAAAAGTAACACTTTTTGATAATGCTCAAATGAGATTTAAAGTCATTTAAAGCAATAAAAATAATTTAAATTGAGAAGTGGAAATCATGATCTCATTTGAAAAATGTGATAAGAGTAGACAGTAAGTCTCACTGAGACAGTATGAAACTACTATCTAATGTTAGAACTGTGTAATGGGATCTGTCAAATTAACAATGAGACTATCAAAAATTCTGGTCCTGGTCTCAGACACGGTCACACGGTCAGTCTACTAAGAAGATTGTATGAGACACACAGTAACTCTTGTATATATTTCAGTAGAAGTAAAAGACAAATCACTGACTTCTTTGATAAGAAGTCAGTATCTAGCTATTTTATATAGATAATAAGCAGATACTCTTCTCTTATTTTATAAGTAAGAATAGTCAGAGTAATACCTCAGTAATGTCTTATTATCAAGAAAGAGTAATCTGCTGATCTTATATAAAAGCAGAGTTCTTATATTCATCAATTGAATCTTTCTATGATATATCTGAATGATGTCATAGAGTGGTTGAAAATCAGTTCAGACAGAATGAAATTATTCACATGAAAGTAATGAGCTGTGTGAAATTATAATGAGATCTTGACACAGCTGAGAGTATGATAATGCTCTTCTTTTTAAGAGCATAGTTCTGATACTCTTAAGATTATCAGATTAGAAATTATCTTTATTATATAGTAACAGTTATCAACTAATTTGACAGTGCATGTGCTGTGTATAATATAAAGAAATAGATGAGTTTTTCTGCTAACTGTATAGATCTTTCTTTTCTCATCTTTGTTCAATTCAAATGTGTGATAAGTGAGTTTCTTATATATCAATTTGAAATGTGAAAAACATAGTTAATAAGTGACTTACAGATCTCTTAATATATTTCATTCTATATATGAAATTCTCTGCAAAAGTAATGTGTTTTTAGAAACAAAGCTAACAGTAGTGACAGGATTTTTTGAAAAGATCTCTTCTCTCTGTGAAACATTTTTCTTTCTCTCTCTCTCAATTGTAACAGTGAGTGTATGAGAGTATTATTCTTGAAGAATAATAGAGGACTTATTCTAATGTTTTCTAGTGAGTAAATGTCTTCATGATGCAGTGACAGTCTCTGTGACTGTCAAGAAAGTCAGATTGAAGACAGAGACAGTGATATCAATGAGCTGCAGAAGCACTGCTCTTATTATCATATCTTCTTCTTCTTCTGCTTCTTTTGCAGCTGTGGTGATAGTTGTTATATCTTGTAGTGAAGTGTTATTTCTTCTGCTAGTCAGTTCATCTGTATTCAGTTCATTCTCTGTCTCTCTCACTGCTGTTGCAACACTGCCCTCTCTCTCAGTCAATACAGTAGTATATGACTCTGTGTGATTATTCAGAGAGGAATCTGAGAAGAGCTTGATTCTGAAGATAGTGACTCTGAGAAGCTTAATCTGTAGTTTCTCTTCTGCAGCATATCTGAGCCCTGCTCAGAATGCTGCTGAATTGAGTCTGCAGAGTCTCACAGTTTCTTCATCTTCTCTCTGTGAGAAGGCTCTGATACAGTCTCTGATCAGCATCACTACTTATCTGTACTGTGTTAAGTAGCTAAAGAAGAAGAGGATTTTATATACTTATCTCTTCTCTCACTTCTGTTATTTTCATTGTACTTATAACAATGACTTCTGTCTCTCTGTAAGTATTATTTCACAGAAAAACATTATATCAGTTCTGATAAGAAGTCTAGATACTCAAGCAGTACAGAGTGAGAGTCTTGAAGCTTTAAGTATTGACAGATTCTGTCAAGACTGAAGAGATTCTTCTTACTCATCTGTAAAAAGAGATGAAAGTGTGAATCTCTGAGATGAAAAAACATCTCAGAATAACTGATCTCAAGAAGAGATTAGCTAATGCTGCTGTTGAAAGCACTGCAGAAATTAATCACTGATTGAAGAGAATCTCACTTTAACTGAAGTAGATAACTGAGATACTTTGTAAGTTAATAAGTTGATATTTTATGCATTTCTTATGCTCTTCTGCAGTGTCACAGCACTAACTTCTTAGCAGATAAAGATACTAATACTGAAGACTTTAATAATAAAGAATAAGTTTGATGAGAATGTAGTTATTAATCAGTAGACTCTGAGATTCTCTCTTTTTACTTTTTCAGTGAGCTGTGATCTCACTAGAATAGCAGTAACTCACAGATTAATTAATATTAATCTTTTTTTATTAATTTCAAATATCTCTTCTCTTTAACTGCTTCAGGAATTTTACACTTGTGTAGTCTTATTAAACTTCTAAAAAACTCTTTGAGAGAAAATAGAAGAAGAGTGCTACAGAGTCTATAAGATATCAGCTCATTATCATGAGATCATCTCTAAAAAACTCTTTGAAAAAAATGAGAAGTCTTAAGTGATATTTCTTATCTAATATCTCTGATGTGTAATGAGACAGTCTCTACTAGTTATCTCATAGCTTGCAATCTCTTTCTCAGTATTCTTCAAATACTCAAGCAGTTCTCATAAATTCTCTGATAATGAATAATCTTCTTATTTAATGAGATATTGAAGCTTGCTATAATATATTTACTTATTCAATATTTTCTTTATAAGATATTCAGTATCACTCTCAATCTTAATATTATCTAACTGAGACAGCTCTGCTCTGAAGTGTTACTTATAGAACTTTAAATAGAAAATGTGAAAAACAGAATAAATTGATTTCAATTTTGTAAGTAATTTTAACTTATATATCTACTTACTTATCACTCTTATTACTGAAAAAGATTTTAGTCACTACTCACTGAGCTTCTTATATAGTCTTATTATCTTGATATTCTTTGCTGAAAGTAGTACTTAATTCTCTATTAAGAACTTCATCAGAAGATGTTTTTAATTATAGTATTTTATCTACTACTTCTAAGCATAGTGAATACTTTTTACTGTCTTCTTATGAATTTTATTTAAAAGTTTCAATCTTGCTTTTACTTCTGACACTGAGAAATACTTCATTCTCTATATCTGTCTGATATTCTAACTGTCTATTTTCTTCTTTGAAATGTTATCTGTGACATCACTGAGTAATGAAGAATTATATTCATAATAAGTATAGAAAGAAGATATCTTTAAGATTGTATTCTTTGCATTATTATATACAAATTCAGCAGTCAGAAGATGTTTGAGCTAATCATTCTAATGATATAAATAGAACACTTGAAGATACTATTCTAGTATCTGATTTTGATATTCAGTCTGATCATCAGTCTGCAGATGAAATGCAGTACTGAGAAGACATCTTATTATAAGATAATAGTAAAAAGCTGACTAGTATTTACTAATGAAGAGGAATTCTCAATCTGTTATCAATGATTTCAGAGCACTGTGATCATGAATAATAGTATCTAAAAACAGATCAGTCAATTCAGAGACTTTAATCTTTTTATAAGTAGAGATATATCTGATCATCTTTGTGAAGTAGTTAATAATGATCAAAATTGAGTTATATTCTTTAACTCTTATCAACTTCAGCAGATCAACTATGAAATTTATCAATAGATTCTGCTATGAGTTCTTTAAAATAGACAGTGATATTAACTCACTGTATTACTTATACTGTGAGATCTTTATTCTTTAACAGATATTATAAGTCTTAATATACTCTTTAACATCTGTTTAAAGCTTGTCTTAAGTATATTTATATTTTAGAAGTTTCTCAGTCTTCTCTAATCTGAAGTACTCTGTATGAGAATTATTATGATGAATTCTTAATAACTTCTGATACACTGCTCTGCTATAAGAGACAAAGACTGAATTATTCAGTAGTAGAAGTTCATATTCTTCTAGTTATCAGTGACTTGATTTCTTAGTAACACTGTTCTGCTCAGAGTCTGTCTCTTTCAAGTTCAAACTGAATTCTTTCTTCTTCAACTTTTGAATTTAAGCTGCAGTAGAGATATTTCTCTTCTGTAACTTATCAATAAATTTCAAAAGTAATTGAGTTAAAAGATTGTAGACTGTTTCATTCTTTGCTAATTCAATAATTATAAGATATGATACAAGAAGCTCATGATCTTCAGTATCAGTTCTCTGCAAGAACCTGAGTTCTCTTTCACCTTCTATACTAAGTCACACAGCTGTCTCTTCAGCACTGTTTCTGAGCTTTAGAGAATCTCAATTCTCTGCAGTCAGCTTCTTCTGCAGTGATGACAGAGATTCTTTTATAGAATTCTTCTTCATATCAATGATATTATAATCAGACTGTCTAGATAATATATCAGTGAGATTAAGTC